AGAAATGGACGAACAACCAGAACTTTCCGCCAGAGTTTACAGCTGGTAAACGCGAAGAAGAAGAAGCAGAAATATTTTATATAATAAACAAATAGACAATGTATTGATCGGCACTCATAGGAAGAAGTATAAATATAGAAGAATACACGAGACAACATAAAAATTCGAAGTTATAGTTGCAATGCCGGAAATCGAACCTATTACATCCAGATGGCGTGTGCCCCTCGCTATTGAAACAAATGCATAAGAACATGAATAAACTAGACTTCCCATAAAAAGGTGCCTTCACTGGCCATGACCATCTTACAGCTTGAAATCTAGAACGACGGAATAAGGACGTTTTTCATCTCAAAGTACTAAAATGGCACCACAGGTAACATCATTTAAATGAACCAAGCACAGGTCAAATACAAACACAGCATTAATTACAAACATCTCAGACCGTGACGCTGTGTCTAGATTTAATGCCGATCAATACATTGTCTGTTTCTTTATTATACATAATATTTCTACCGCCTTAATGGTTCCCCCTATGTTTACTTACTGCTTAAAGTATGTTTACTATCGACATCAGCAGCAGCTGCAGTTCCATCATGCTACCGTCATCATCATCATCATCATCATCATCATCATCATCATCATCATCATTATCATCATCATCATCATCATCAGCATCCTTATCATCAGCAGCAGCACCATCATGCTATCGTCATATTCAACAGCAGCAGCAGTACTCATGCTATAATCATGATCAACAGAAGAAACAGCACAATCATGCTATCGTCGTCATCAACAGCAGAAGCAGCACCATCATGCAAGCATTATCATCAGCAGCAGAAACAGCAGCACCATCATGCTATCATCATCATCATCAACAGCAGCACCATCATGCTATCATTATCATCAATAGCAGCAATATTACCAGTCAGATAACAAAATCCCAAACATACAAGACAAGTGAACGTTATGGCTAGAGAGTCTTAATAACACAACATGCCACCCTTCCCTTTAAGGACGAGGGAGAAGAATTTCCCGTTATACGATGAGTCATGTCACAATATGCACATCGTATGTATGAACGTTGCGGATAGAAAGCCTTCATCAATTTCACCCTACAAAAACCTGGCTAAGGACGGTGGCCATTTACTGCGAGACGGCAACTTCCGGTATAACTATTTTCTTAATGTCGGTCTCTCTCTACCTCGGCAGGAGGGACTGATCGTGTCTACATAACTGCTGTTTATTTTTTTGTGTTTCAGTTATATTTGGCCGTTGGTGTTCATGTAATTTGCAGTTGACAGTTTTTGTTGTACTACAAGTAAGTTAAACTGTGCTGTTTGTAGTAGTATGTGTAAATTAGAAACGTGAATAATGACAGCGAAATCATCTAAAAAAATCCATATATCAAGTGACCGTGTGTTCGTGTTCCGCAGATGTTTATCTTAAAGTTAAAACACAGGGTTTGTGTTAATTATTAATAATTAAATTTACATTAATTGAGGTTTAAATAAAACAGTGTAAATAATTAATAATTTTCACCACTTCTCCGAATAACGGTCCTAATTTTTTCAAAGTAAAGTATAATATTAATTAGGGCACGAAAAGTAAAAGAAATAATTAACTGCCCACTTATTGAACAATACAAAGTTAGTAATTATTTCAATGTCGCCTGAAAGCAAGGTGAGCCGGTGAGGTTGTGAGTTGTGGCAGCAACTGCAACAAATTTGAAACAAAACAAAAACATTCTTAATTCTCTTTTTGTCACTTTAATTATTCATAACAAATCGCCCATGTGATGTGATTGTCTGTACAGATGGCTTTGTGTTGAGTGAGAGGTAAACAAAGTGCATGGGGGGGGGGGGGGTTCATAGCAAAGGCGAAAGGACGTCGCTTGGTGCAGCAGTCTGGCATATGATATCACATCTAGTTTGAGAATAGAGATGGAGGCAGTCACTGCTGCCTTCCGCTGGATTAGGAATCAGCTGCACACACATGCCATCATTGTAACTGACACACAGAGCATGTTGAGAAAGGTAGAGACAGGCATGCTCTGTGCAGAGTGACAAGCATTACTTCAAAGGTCCCAGGTAGTTAGCATCCTTTGGATATTTAATCCATGTGTGTTTGGAAATGAGCAGGCAGATAGACTGGCCGGTTCTGCACCACTTGGTTGTAAACTGATGAACAATAAGCTGGATGTTGTGAGGGCCCTTTGGGAGTGAGTTAACAGTGCAGAGGCACAGATAAATCATTACGGTCTGAGAAGAATGGCGCTGCGAGGAGTTACCAGGGGATTTGGCAGACGCTCAGGGGGAAAGGCGAGACGGATACACAATCAGACAGTTACTGGTACCATCAGAATTCTAACTCTTTGCTTGCTGCTAAAGATGGGGACAGAGCGCTTATGGGAGTATCCTTAGTGCTCTGATGTAGATTCTTAATTCAACATTTGTTTGTCTTTAACTTAAACTATATGTAATAAAACAAAAGACAGTGTTTTGATCGGCACTCATGGAAAGAAGTAGATTTATGTGACTTAAGCTCTTGAGGAGTATATTGTGTTCATCTGCACTTACTTAGCTCTTGTTCCACAACTTGCGTTTTTAGTGCACATCCGTTTTACAGATATAGCTTATTTTCAGGCATATGCACTCCAGCGTTGATTAATTCTCTTTTGTCCTTTGTGAAATATTCTCATGTCTGGTGATTTTGTCGCACCCCCTGTACACCAAACTGGACAGGAATATGGAGTTTTGTCTGTCACCGTAATCTTTAAAACCCAAGTAGAAAAACTGGGGTGATTGCATATTTCAAAATAATTGTATATTTGATTTTAAGGTTCAAGTCTGTAATCATGATTGTGTTATAAACCACATCATCAAATTTTTTTTTTTTACTCGCAACTTACTTTTATTTAATAACAGTTTCATAGAAAGTTATAAAACCAAACAAACAGTAGGCCAGTGAACTTTACAATGTAACAAACACACACATAAAGTGTACTTTTTTAAGCTACAGTGCCTTCGTCCGCACATTACACACTTCAGCAAAACCACATCTACAGACACAAATACAAAATATAGATAACAGGTACTGGACTACAGTGTACTACACTTTATTACCTGGCATGTTCTCTGCGTCTTTTTAAAGAGAGAATCGACGTTATTGCTCCGGGATCCCAGTTTGGCGAAAATAGAATTGACCCACTGCTCCCATAATAAGTATGTCATAAAAGGGGAGGGGGGGGGGTCGCCGTGGCATAGTGGCTAGACGCTTCTGTGCGGATCAGAAGGTTGTAGGTTCGCTCCCTGGCAGAGCTAAACTTTTTTAAAAAATGACTGACTCCCAGGTCGACCCAGCCTTGAGTGGGTACCGGGTGCAGTCCCAGGAAGTAAAGGCAGCGGGCATGATGTTGACGAGATCACCTACCTTGTGCTGATTGGTCTTTAAAAATATAGTTCCTGCCCTGTATACCCTATACGCCTATAGGCCTTGAACAAGAGACCTTTACTACAGGGCTAAAACAGACCTTTTTAACAGGACTAATTAGGTGTCTTTCCTTTAAAGTCCACTTGCCCGTGCCTAGGTAGTGGGGAATAATGACGAGCATACAAAAAAAAGCGATTTCTGTAAAACAGATGTGCATGTAAACTTCAGGTTTTGGAAGAAGACTAAAGTTGGTTTGTGCGGCCTGTGAATGCTCAGAAGAAGAAGATTGCACATAATTTTATCCTCTATGTCAGGGCTATTCAACTGGCGGCCCGCGGAGGCGTAGCAAGTGGCCCTCGAATCATTGCCATTTGAATTGTATTAGTGATATTCCTATGCTGGAGCTCGGGTTTCTGGCCCCTGACTATCCCGTTTTTCAAAATTCTGGCCCCTGACCAACCCGTTTTTCAAAATTCTGGCCCCTGACTATCCCGTTTTTCAAAATTCTGGCCCCTGCTTAAACTTAGTTGAATAGCCCTGCTCTATGGGATATCCCTTATGGCTCGGTCTCTGTCTGCAGAATGGCTAGCCACCTGTCAAGAGCATAGTCAAACTCTGGCTCTAGTGATGCCCACCCATGGCTCTAGTGATGCCCACCAATGGCTCTAGTGATGCCCGCCCAAACCCACGTCTTTCAGAGCTCAAGACAAACAGCCTGACTGCTTCATCATGTATTTTGTTAGGTGTCCATTAAAGAATGCAGGAGTGTGGGGGAATGAAAGGGTGGATTTTCTGGTTACAGAAGTTATAGCTACGGGAACACTTGCACTGAACAAGGGAGATATTCTGAAGACCATGTACGAATGACTTGTGACAGAAGACACAAGACTAGGGAAAATAGCATGTGTAAGAATGTGTGAATGAGAAATGTGGATCCAACAAGAAGGGACATTTGAGAGAAAGAGTGAGATGTGTATAATCAGTTTGCTACTGAAACAGTTAGCATGTACAGCTTGGGACATTTGCTGCGGGAGGCGGAGCATCTGTGTATCCCCCTCCCCCGCCCGTAAATCTACACGCAACAAAACACATATATGAATTCTCCTAGTGTTTGTTCCAAGACCTCATTGTTAGGAAAACAAGAATAGACCAACTGCCTTCCCAACAAGCATGTCATAAGAGTGACTAATTTTAGGGTTTCTTTGGAAGTCAGAGTGCATCTGCCTGAGAGGCAAGGAACTAACAGTCTGCATACAAATAACAGTCCTGTAAAACGGAACGCTAACTACCCTGGGATCTTTGAAGAGATGCTTGTCACTATGCATGGAGCATGCCTGTCTCTACCTTTCTCAACATGCTCTGTGAGTCACTTACAATAACGACATGTGTGTAGAGCTGATTCTCAAGCCAGTGGATTGCAGTAGTGACTGCCTCCACCTCCATTCTCAGACTAGTTGTTCTGTTTCTCAGTAGTTCACATCTTCGGCTGTAATAGAGAATCATAAAACATGTGTTGTTTTCATTCATTTGCTTTTTTTTTTGTATTTTATCTAGACTCCAAGAAATAAGCAATGGACGAAGACCTAGGCTCTGGCTCTGGAGGGGAAGTGGTTCCAATGGCTTGGATGCCTTCTCCGACACTTGAAATTGAAGCTCTGAAGCAGGTATAGACAGATCAATGCATTCTCTTTATGTTTGAAAATCTTCCTGCCTGTCTTTAAACTGTTATCATTCCCCTCATTCACATTCTTCAGTATCAAGAAAAGATATAAAGCCGAACGAAAAGTATATCAGCAAGCTTCACAACTGTATGGAAATTGGAGGGGAAAAGAAGCACAGTGGGACAGAGAGAAAAGAGTCTTGACAATTATGGCATGAAAGATCACTTATGACAGAGTTGATTGAAGTACACGAGACAGAAGGTCATGGATAGACACGACTACCAATGCCACACAGAGAATTCTCTACAGGGGCTTTCGGTCCTATACACAGATGGGTCCGTAATTGGCCATGTGAGAAGAGCTTGGGCTTTTACGGCTCAGGTTGAAGTTAGAACTGTGAAGTAAGATTCTGTTGCTGTTGCCTTGACAAGTAGTCTGACCATGGAGGTCATTGTAGTCACCAAAGCAATAGCATGGCTGGGGACAGCATGTTAAGAGGGGTGTGGCCAGACAAGGATGTTATGCAGGAAACCAAAGAAGAAGAAGAAATCAACACAGAACTGGTATCGTGAGCCACTACACACTGAGGGATTTACTGAGGAGGGGATCCGAGCACTTATGGAATGAATGCTTTGATGTGCAGAGAAGATAATCTATTGACTAACTACCCAACACCACACGGCATGGACTTTAAGAAGTGTAATCTGGTCTTATATAAATATACATGTGTATATATATGGTTTTTACATTTTAGAAGTAACACAAAAAGAAGAAAACTGCCATTTTTCATTATATCTTTGCATTGTAATTTCTAGAATGAACCAGAAGCTGAAGGGAATAACCATGTTTTGGTGGGGGCTAATGCAGCTGAAGTGTCTCCGATGTCCAGTCTTCAATGTGGCCCACCAGGCCCCACAGAGAACATGAATTTTATGACTTTGGCTGAAGCTGCAGCCGAGGAGGCAACAAGTGGTATGTTGTGTAAAACAGCCGTAAGTGGTATGTTTTGTGTGTTTGTGACGGCAGCAAGTGGTACATTATTTATACCACCTGGAAGTGGTATGTTTATGTTATTTATAACAGCTGCAGGTGGTATGTTATTTATACCACCTGGAAGTGGTATGTTTATGTTATTTATACAGCCAAGAAGTGGTATGTTTATGTTGTTTATAACAGCTGCAGGTGGTATGTTATTTATACCCCCTGGAAGTGGTATGTTTATGTTATTTATACGGCCAAGAAGTGGTATGTTTACGTTATTTATAACAGCTGCAGGTGGTATGTTATTTATACCCCCTGGAAGTGGTATGTTTATGTTATTTATAACAGCAGCAAGTAGTATGTTATTTATGCCTCTAGAAGTGGTATGTTTGTTGGGTTTATAACAGCTAGTGGTGAGTTTGCTGCAGTAGGTGTTTGCATTATTCATAACAGATGATAGTAATATGCTTGGTTTTTTTGGTTACAGCTCCAAGTAGTATGTTTGAATTACTGATAATAGTTGCAATTGTTGCCTTGGATACTTTCATTTTATTTCACTCCAAACAGACAGTCTAATATTTCTGTGGTTGGTAGATAGGCTGCATGCAGTCGTGGGACTCTCTCATGGGGATGTAGGTGCGTTGGGGTTAGGTCCAGTTCTAGGTGTTTATGAGTTGTTAAAAGCACTTCAAAGCCGGTAAACCTGGTCTTACCACCCTATAAAATATTTGACTGTCCCTATGTTGTCATCTTGGGTAACTTATTACGAAAGAACCTTGCCTTGTTTATAATATCAGCGCGTTATTTATAAAAGCAGCAAGTGATATATGAATATATCACTTGCAGTGGTATGTTGCTTGTGTTTATAATGCTGTGATCTTTATTGTCAGATTTGTCGTATACAGGGTGCCCCATATATTTCTGGGGGGGGGGGGGGGGGGGGGAGATGAACTGGACACACAAAAACATCTCACTGTACCTACAACATGAATGTAACAACACAATCGTCTTTTTAGACGTCCTGATCAGACGAAGGGAAGATGGCACCATCCGACGATCAGTATATAGGAAAGATACTTGGATGGGACAGTACATGAACTTTAATAGTTTTGCACCCATCCAGTACAAACGTGGCCTAGTACGAAGATTATTCAACCGCGCTAGAAAGATTTGCTCCAACGATATGCTACAGTCTGAACTAGAAACCCTCAAACCAACATTATTGAACGAATACCCAGTTGGTTTGATTAAGTTCCACTGCCAACTTCCTCAACCAACTACTACAGAAAAGTCAGTCCCCAAACAACAAGTCTGCACACATCTAAGCTATCGAGGGGATGATGTTATGAAACGGCTATACGACCGGCTTAAAACAGCAGTCAGCCAAACTTTCTACGCCGCTTTGCCTATTATCAGGTTTAAAACAACCCCTGTGCCAACGCCCTCGGTGAAACAACCAGTGTCAACGTACGCCAAATCAAATTGTATCTACCGATTTGAATGTAACTGTGAAGCTGCTTATGTGGGCAGAACTGACCAACACCTGGAGAAATGAGTCGCTGAGCACATTCCAGTGTGGGTGGAGAAAGCCATGCAAAATAATATTCATACTGAGAATACTGGCCGCAAAGTTCACCCCTCTGCAATAGCACGCCATCTTCTAAAATCTGGACACGCGGGGACTAAAAATGACATATTTCAAATCCTTCATACGTCAACCAATGGCAGAAGGCTAAGATTTCTCGGAGCATCCGCAATTCGTCACCTGCACCCTGAACTCTGTATTCAGAAAGAGATGGTTCTTTCTTTACGGCTGCCCTGTTAAAAATAGGCAGTCATGTTGTGTTTGATCGTTGTTGAAATTGTACTTCAGTTATAAAGGATTCACTTATTTGCTTCATTTATGTAATTGTTACTGTAGAATGCACCTGACGAAATACAGCGAAATATGCCAGGCAATAAATTGTGCAATCTATTGTTTGTGTATTTTTTGTTCAAATTTAAAGCGGTGAAACATGCTTTGGAGTTCTTTATTAATATCCTACCCCGGATGACATCACAGGACAGTCCAACATTTTAGAGTGTGGTAAGACTGGGTTTCCCAGCTTTCTGATGCTTTTAACGACCCCAAAACATCTAGAACTGACCCTAACCAAAACCCACCTACGTCCCACGAGAGAGTGCAGCCTAGGTCCCATGACTGCTGTGATACCTGCTCTTTCCAATAGATCATTGTTTGTGATCCTGTTTTACTACTTAATGCTAAGTATTCTTCTTAGTCACATCACATGTGAAAGCTGTTTAGCCATTTCTGCTGGTGAAAATAAGTTGACCTAGGCTCATTGCTGTAAAGAAGAGTGCTGATAGATCTTGGCACCTCTCTAATACACGGGTGATCACTTTTGCCTTTTATTATATCCTTTAGCCCTCTACCAAGATCTGGACTCTGCTTGGTCAAGTGATGGCATGGCGTCTGCAAATGTGGATATGGAAGAGGCACACAATGGTTAGCATCCTGTGTTTGTGTTTTGCTGTATACCCTTTTTGTGAACATATTATCATATACATCAAGTATGAAACTGGAAAAAAAAATTATACCAACCCTACCTGGGTTTATCACTTTTTAGGGCAGTGAAGATGGAAGAGGTTGTGCAAACAAAAAGATTTGTTATGGTCGCTTGGCTAGTTCCATGAACCATGCAGGATATAATAATATGGGCGGGGGGGGGGGGGGGGGGGGGGGGGGGGGGGGGGGTGCGCCAAGGTAACAATTTCCATCACCTAACAAGGGTTTAAACATGCATGCCGGCGCATGTGGCTTAGTCATTGCGGACGCGCTTCATTGTGCCTGGGTTCGATCCCCGCTGCGGACGATTTGTCTTGAGCTGGTTTCGACAGTGGCACCGAAGGCTGACCGTTCAGTGGGCAGTAACAAACTACTGAACGTTAAATTGGTCTAGAAAAACCACACCAGCCAATAAATGCCTGGCTTGGTTCAGCAACGTCCTGTAAAGGTTACACAACTAACTCCAGCTTGAGAGCTGAGTGTTCTGACTGACCATTTGGTCAAGCTACTTCTCAGGAATAAAGCAACTCATCGTCATCAAGTGCCTTGCCGACCGGCTTGATATGTGCAAGGATCAGGAATGGACTGTGTGCATAAATCCAGGTACCTGTGTATTTACCAACAATAGCATTTGGGGGGTGAGGGTGTCTTGTAAACAGAATCCCCAATGTAAAGCCATTTTGACATCATAGTTTGCCCAAGTGTTTTAATAATTCCAGCAAGTCACAGCATGTGTCACCTGATATATTTTTTAAGCCCCCTGGAATATATTCCATTTTAGGCACCTTTCTGTTGAATGTTTATTATTTACTCCCTTTCCCCCATGGGTACCAAGGCACCGTGATGGGGAAATCAAGACTAGACCCACTGGCTCCCCAAAAAGCATGTCATAGGAGTTGGGTAAAGGAGGAAAGCAACGGCAAACTACCTTCTGCAAATTTTGCCAAGAATCCATAACAATCATGACTAAACAAGCGGAACAGCGCATAAATGCATTTGAATATAAATGTTACAGACAGGTTCTAAGAATATCTTGGGTAAAGAAAAGAACAAATGCATCCATACTTCAAGAGCTGAATATTGAAGAGGGTTGGCTAGTAAAGACAATAAAACAAAGAAAATTGAAATATTTTGGTCACTTGAAACGTCATGGAAGTCTAGAGAGAACAATAATGGAGGGGTATATGCCTGGTAAGAGAGGAAGAGGAAGGCCAAGGAGAAGATGGGTGCAGGATGTGGCAGATGATCTCCAGATGGGTGTATCAGACGCAGGACATCTTGCTCAGGATAGGAAGGTTTTCCGGAGGTTTGTTATGGCAGCGAGGTTCCGCGAGGGACATGCTACTGAATGAATGAATGGAAAAGGGGTGGGGGGCATGTTTTGAAGAGTGCATCTGCCCGAGAGGCAGGAAACCAAGAGTCTGTATACCTCAGGCATTCTGTACAAATGTGATGTTTTTAAATTCTGCACAGATGACACAGATGAAATGGCATCTGCCGGTACACAGCCCGCCATCGACTGTAGTATACGTACAATACTGAACCACCTCTGTGACCTGTCACATGATCCTGTTTCATCATCCAGTGAACATATTCGGGATCGATGCCACCATCAGCACAAGCTAGGGCCATCAAGAAGTTCCGTGAAAAGTCGCAGTAGAACAAGCGGTGAAGCACACAACTGCTTCACGTCTTTGGAAGAGAACATGTCACCTGACAATTCACTTGAAAATAATGAACATGATGTTTCACTGGACAACCGGCAAGACTTTCTGGACGTTGACACTGATCGGTCATCCAACTCGAATGATGCCTGGGATCCCCTGAACCCTTACGGGCTGTTTAATCTGCCTGAACCGGCAAACTCATTGCGAAGCAGCAATTCTCGCAGATGGAATATTAACTGTGCATTACAGAGAGCCAGAGATGGCTTTGGAATCTTCAATCTTAGTCAAGGTCCAGAAGGTTCAGATTGTCAGACAGCAGCTGCTGCATCACCTCCGGCAGAATTGTTTGAGACGCCTGACCAAGCTCCTCGATCACAGCCTTCTTCGTCACTTGAGCCTTTGCCATCATCAACATCTGTGTGTTTGAGGAATTTACTAGAAGAAAATGATTGCACGTCAAGACCATTCTCTTTCCTGCATTATCCTGATGTGGCTTCAGATCCATGGGCAGAACCATCAGAGGGTCCTTCTTGCTGGAGTAAGTGTTTAACCTTGTTTCATATTTGCCTTTTGGGGTTTAATTTTTGCTGTATTATCTTGTTTTCATCCTCCTTCTGTGAGTCTGGCGTGGCCGGTTGGTGGTGACATTTGTTATCTAGTAGATTTATACACAAATTAAACTACATTTTAATTAATTTGAAACATGTGTTATTGAATGAATTATCATTTTTGAAGATAAATATTTCGTAAAAGCCCATTTATTTATCTTCAAAATAATAATTGATTCTATAACACTGGTTGCAAAAATAATTAAACTGTAGTTCAGTTTGTGAATAAATCTACTCGATAACATTTGATACCACCGACCGGCCACGCCAGCCTCACAAAAAACGGGAATTCCTGTTTGAGCTGTGGGGCCTTATATCTGGAGCTGGCTGTGGTTTTTCAGGATGTGCCCAGCATAGCCATGACTTCTTTGTCTTATAAGTGTGGTTAGTAGTGGTTGTCCAGGCATTTCTTCACTGTTGTTGAATTCATCTAATTCTATTTTCAACATTTTACTCATATCTGTCGAACAGATTTATAACTTTTGTTTCGCCCGGCTCTCTAGCGAAGTTGGTTAAACCGGACTTTCGCGGCGGCCGGGTGACGAACTCCTTGTGGTCCGGGTTCACTCCCGGGGGTAGGCAGAAAAGCCACATTTCTCCCAGATTAACGGTACCTATAATGGAATCAAGGCCGAAGGGTTGCGATATCCATAGTACCGAGCCAAAGGGTTTTACAACTCATGGTTTCTGGATACGTAAAAAAAAAAAAAATAACTTTTGTTTCATGTCTTTAGTGGTTGTTGAACTTTTACTGGCCACTTTAAAATTGAAATAACATTAGAGTTGAAAATATTAACTTTATTTTAATACTGTAGAGTTTAGAGTTTCCTTCGTTATAAGGAAACCTAGTGGTGGCTAGTTTACTTGATGAGGAAAGGTTAAAGGGAAGCCAGAAAGGTAAATACTTTAATGGGCTGGTCTCTTGGAATAATTGAGACAAGAACACAGACTTGATCCAGGACTATATGAATAGTGTGTCTGACCGTGTATATCACTGTGACACCTGATGTTGATTCGCTGTCAACTCTGTTGCTGATTTTGTCCTTTCCTCTTTCTTCTTCTTGGAATCACTGTCTGATTAACTCAAACAAATAAATTCTTATGATAAAATTGACAATTTTCGGGAGCTCCCTTTTAGTTCCCACTTTGAGTTTTGATGTTGGCTGCTTGAGCCAGTATTCCATTCTCAATGTGCTGTACAAGGGAGGTGTTCTGCAGTTTGCACACACAGCCCACATAGACACAATGGTCAACTGCTCAGATGAAGCCAATGCAAATGTTAAAGTTTTTGACTATCTACCAAATAACGGGCACAAAATATGGCCGTCAAAAACAGGGCCTCAGTCACGTGTGACTGTGACTACCACCACCGCCGAGGGTATCCCCCACGCCGCTCATGCAGCGTGGATTAGGTCTAAACTAGATGGCTGGGACTCACAAGCAAAGCTGCAGGAGATGCAGAAGCTGCTGCTCGTGGGTCCCAGCCATTTAGTTTAGCCCCAATCCACGCTGCATGAGCGGCGTGGGGGATACCCTCGGTGGTGGTGGTAGTCGCCGGAAGTTCGCAAATTAAGTCGCAGGAAGTGCGAAATTGACACATGACTGAGGCTCTGTTAGGGTTTTTTGCGGCCGCCATAATATGTGCCCGTTATTCGGAGAATAGTCACGTTTTTTTATGACCTGCTCTGAGGCGTAGAGTGATGTCGTGTCCATGCCGGTCAAGTAAGCGGTAGTCATCTCTAGTGAAATTTTGTTCACTTGTGATGACTTGATGGTCATTCTTTTGGGCTTTTGCATTGTCTTCCTGTTCTTTCCCTTTCTTAGCGAGTTTATCCACAGTTTTGTTTCCTGGCCTGTGAACTCCCTCTAAAAATTAGAGTAGTTTTAAGTCCAATGCATTAATATTCAGTCGATTGAGCACTAAACATAATTTTCATCTATTAGAGTGTGAAAGAGAACTGATTGCCCAGATCAGAAGGAGACAATCTACATTCATTGGTCATGTTATGAGAAGGAGAAGACAGGAGCACATTGCGATGGTGGGTAAGTTGTGAGGGAAAAAGAGGCAGAGGGAGACTAAGAGAGAAGATGCTGGACAGCTGGACATCATGGCATGGAGGATCGTCTGTGTCAGAGTTGATTAAATGTACACGAGGCAGAAGGTTATGGATGCAGGCACCACACAACATTGGAAATAAGAAGAAGAATGGAGAATTTTCTGTGACCGTGCTGTTAAGCCTTTTTTCCATTGTCTTGGGAAGTAAACAATGCAAGTGACTTGTATGTTGGACATTTTTGGGGGAAAAAATGCTAAAAATTTTTTTTAAAAGAAATGTAGTTTACAAACTGAAAATAATTCAATTTTCAGACATAAGAAAAATAATACAAAGTTGAAATGGCAGTCAAAACGAATACAGCAGGGTGTCACATATCTCTCCTGTCGCGTGCCTGATTTAAGGATTTCTCCTTAAGAAACAACAGCACTCTAAAATAATTATGTTGAGTCGTTGGCTCGTTTTGGTCTAAGGGAAGCCCCGTGGCCAATATACACTCAACTTATTTCAGGAGTAGGGCAACTCAAGTTTTGGCACTACAAAATATATTATATTCCTAGGCACACTTGGCTGGACACCCCCACTACTATAGAAAGATAGCCCCCAGGTTATGATAATGTACTATCATAGCCATGTTAACACAAATAACACTTATTACTCACAGAAACATCAGAGGTAGACAGTTAGAATGGTGAAATAGGGACACCCAAGTCAGCCACAAAAATTTATGCATGTAATCAGTACAATATATACATATAAAAAGGAATAGATTCTCAAGAATGTTTAGTTAATGGAGTTCAGGAATCAGTGACACAACCCAGATATTGAAGCAGCCAGATATTGTTCCATGAGAGTACATGAGTTCATCATCGGACTGATAAGGTGCTGTGGGAAGAGAGCATGTAATGTGAATAAAAGATCACTTAGCCCAGTTCGTAGGCCAATGCTCCCCTCAGTCCATGGTGATTCGACTGTAGTTGACTCAATCAGTAGTTAGGCCTCGACTTGATCTGGTACAAGCTGACTGTCACAAACGAGGACACAAGAACTGCATAGGAGCCCACCAAAGCTCTTGGAGACTGTGATGCCTGCTGGCGGTCCCACAGGTAATGACATAATAAATGCATACGAGCCCAACAAAGCTCTTGAAGACTGGTTCTCTGGATTGATGACATAGGTGTCTGCAATTGTCCACTGGTCCTGGAACTCACAAACAAGCTCTTGCCATGTTGAGGTAGTGGCACAGTATACAGGACTTTTGGATCTGCTTGGTGCACAGAATGGTATGGGTTGGTGGTTGTTGGCTGGACTGTGATTCATCTGCTTGATCTCTAAGGAGGTATCATCCTGTCAGGAAAGAACAGAATCAACCTTATTCACACACCAGCTCATCCCACCTCTGCCACCTTTCTCCATTTCTCAGAGTGTAACTCTCAAGAACAGGGGACAATGTCTCCTTTCATTTATCTGTCTGTAAAATAGTGCAACAGATAGAAAACAAGGTATATAGTGAAGATAGATAGACACTACCACACATAGATCATTCTCTCTCCACCCTCACATCTGCACTCGCAGACATACCATGTTTATAGTTAGTACCTATATATATTCCGACTCCACAGGCCGTTCACTACACACCCACTGAATCTGTCAAACACACCATTGACTCAGAGCGCCTAGCCCTGACAGCACAGTATTTCCCCGGTTAAAGATTCCTTTTTTCTTTTATGTGGCCAAAACTTCGTTTGACTGGTCAGAGAATAATTACTTGTAGGGTTTAATATCTTTACAAATGGTGTGGGTTATGTAGAGCACCAACTAATTAGTCTGTACATAGGGAAGGTCTAATGTTCGGAGCCTGATCTCTAGACATCAAGAACGGTCAAACTCTGTGCGATCACACAGCTGACTCTGCCCTCTCTGCAGCAGTGGTCAACTTTAAAAAGACATCAAATATGCTACTCGTAAACTATAATCAACTTACCCAAGCTTAGGAAATCTTCCAAGATAGAAATGGAACTTTAAATGCGCCAGTTTCTACACAGACTGTATACACGTCTTGACACTTTGGGATCAGGCGAAAGAATGTTTTTTCAAAATCAAACTTAGGGTCTCCAAGAAAGAAGTCCCCTGTATTCCTGCCCAAGGGGTAAACCAGTTTACAGGAATTTCTAAATAAATTACCAGAAATCGTCAACCTACAGTTGCAAGTTTGAAAATGAAGATTTATCAAAGCAACTAGAGGGTCTAGAAATGAATATATCACCAGATAAAGGTATATATCAATATAAGGGACTGTATACTCTTCCGGACGGGTTTAAGTTTGAAATTTCACTGAGCGCGAGGGAAGTCAAAGTCTCGACTCATCCAATGGCTAGATACTTTCCTGCTTGCTCAAAGTTTGTTTTTGTGTGCTTATTTCCTAATTGGGGCAGATTTTTGTAATTGATCTAGTGCTCCCATGATGATCCTGTGCTCCCATGCTGATCTAGTGCTCCCATGCCGATCCAGCATTTCGCAGGTCCGTTGAGGGGCCCCATTATGGAAGTAGGGGAGGGGGCTGAATAGATCCTCAGCCTTTCTAAGAAGCATGTCATAAAAGTTGACTTATTAGGTTGTAGTTTCTCCGAAGTCAAAGTACATCTGTCTGAACAAACATTATTTTCAAAGAGTCACAAATTGGGCACGCAGGCCCATCTTACATTCGGCCCTTCCAAACACCCGTCTTTCACACTGCAGTTGTATTTTATCAATAAAGCATGTTCGTATTCATATGATAATATGCCTGTCATGAGTACCAAGGAGCACAAGAGAGCACTGAGAGGTGAGGAGCCAACAGTCTGCATACAAGTAAGCCAGATCTGTGAAGTTGATGTACATACAAAACTAAAGTCCAGAAATGAACAAACCAGAACTTTCTGTTGAGGCTTACAGCCAGTGAACGCGAAGAAGAAGATTCAGCCTAAAATGGGTATCACAAAATGTCCTAGGAAATAACGTGGCCGGCATGATGTTGATAGCATTAGTTGTCAAGTGCTGATTGAATTATATGTGTTGACATGGCGCTATATGTATGATGTGACAGCGGCTTGAGGAAGGCTCTTTACTTTCTCAGTACCGGAAGATTTCACAAGAGAAGGCAGAGTGAAGAAATAGATGACAGTCATCTGTGCATTAGTTTCAAACTGATAATAAACACCAGGCTGATGACTAATGAGAAAGCAAGTTTTCTTTTGTATGTTTTCACCAATTGTTAAAATTAAAGAGAACACATAAATCTATGCACAAAACTCATCAAGTAAAGTCATTCACATGTCAGGTAGTTGCTTCAGGCTGAAAGAGTCAAAGGTACCTGTAAGTGTAATTAGAGACAGAAATGAATAAAATGGCGAGGTCATAGAGGAAGCAACACTCCATGGCAAAGAATAGAATGACTTTGCATGAGAGTTGTTGAGGACCTTTGCTCCCCGTCTCTATACAATGTATTACTGTAATGTCTCAATCTTATCTCTGAAGTTTTAGTCATATTCTGCAAACTCATTTTATAAATAACTTCTAACCAAACTTGCAGGTCCTGAGAGACGTTCAGACAGAAGGGAAGTGGGAGAGTCACCAGCTCTTTCGGCCCGCCCACCACATTTCTTGGGTAATGATGCAGTCATGTTGATTTATTTAGTTAGTTAGTTAGTTAGTTAGTCTTTCCTCTTGTGTCGAGTGCGGCACATAGGGCAGAGGTCGTGACTCTCCATGCACGGCGGTCCGTTGCAATCCGTTGTAGGTCTTGGATGTTTGAGTGGCCCATGAGCGAGCCTTCCCTGATGATAGTTCTACGTAGGGTTTCCCTTGGTCTTCCACGAGATCTTTTCCCCTGTGGTGTCCAAATGAGGGCTTGGTAAGGAAGTCTTGATTTATCCATTCTAAGGGCCTGGCCGACATAGTTCCAGCGGCGTTTTCGTATAAAATTAGACACATACTCTTGCCTGGATTCTTGCCTTATTTGTGTATTGGTTCGGAAATCTGACCATTTGAAATTTAGTATTCTTCTAAGGCATTTATTTTCAAAACTGTCTAATTTTGTGTCTAGAGTTTTCGTTGATTTCCAGCTCTCGCATCCATAGGTTAGTACTGGAATCACACAAGAATTGAAGATCTTGAGTTTTGTGTGTTTGCTAAGTGTCTTTGATTTCCAGATGTTAGACAGTTTATTGAAGGTCTATTTTATTTCACTGATTCATCTTTCTTTACAGATAGGACATTACTAGACTATGTACGAGGGGAAGTCAGTGTTAGTCACAAATGGTTGTTTAAAAAAAAAAATTCCAAAGATGATAACAACTTGTTGAAACTGTTTATTTTTACACATACACTGTCCCTTTGTTTTTCAACAGAATTTCCACCAGCATTGATGCACTTGTCCCAATGTTCTATTAGTCCTTCCAAACCTGCTGCATAGAACTGTGTGCTCTGTGTTCTAAACCTTACTTTCACTTCACATTAAGCTTTTGCATCATTCGTGAAATGTCTCCCGCCAATT